TCTGGTATTTTCTGTGTACACTATCAGATAGTCTCCACATAGTGACAGTTTTACCACCTCTTTGCAATTTGGATGCTTCTTTTTCCCCCCTTCTTTTATTTTATTGCCCTCGAGAGTACTTCACACGTACTTCCAATAAAGTATTGAAAAGGAATTATGAGCATGGGCATCTTTGGTCCCTATTCACAAAGGGGATTCCATTAGCCTTTCTTCTTTGACAATGATGGTACCTCTTGGTTTAGTATGTGTACTTTTTCACCATGTTGAGGAAATGCCCTTCTAGTGTGTTTTTTCTGAGTGTTAGTTATAAGTAGGAAGAAGTGCTGGATTTTATTGAAGAGCTTTTCTGCATTAATTGAGAAGATCATGAGGTTCTTGCTCTTTGCTTGGTTAGTGTGATTAATTAGTTTGATTCTTTTTCTTAAATTGAACCACTCTTGCACATTTGTTATGAATCCCACTTGATCATGTAGAATTATTTTTTAATGTGCTCTTGGATTTTATTGAGCAGGCTTTGTTAAGAATTTTTTAATCTATATTCATGAGAGATATTGATCTTAAAGAGAATTTTCTTTTGGTAATATCTTTGCCTGATTCATGGAATAACTCTCAGAACGTTCCTCCTCTTCCTCTTTCTTCCCCTCCTCTTCCTCCTTCTTCTTCTTTTTCTTCTTCTATTTTTAGAAAGAATTTAAATTGAATTGGTTATAGCTCTCTGGATGTTTGATAGTAGTCAGTTGTGAAACTATGTAGGTCAGGACATTTTTTGTAGGGAAGACTTTTTATGACCTGCTCAATTTCTTTTGTGATAAGTCTGTTCAAATGTTCTACATCTATACATGCTAGTCTTGGTAGGGTGTAAGTTTGAAGAAATTTGTCCACTTCCTAAGTTATCAAATTTATTGGAGTATTGTTATACTGGTGGATTTTCAGAGGCATTTAATCACATGGAAGAAGATTGTCCATCCTAATCCAGTGGAGCAACAGATGGATTTGAACCATGTGCCTTTGCGATTGCAGTGCAGCTTGTTGTATCTAGACCATAGCTGTTCATAATATTCTGATATTATCTATTTAATTTAATCTGGTTCTGCTGTGATGTCACCTCTATCATTTCTTACTTGAGTTATTTGTATCTTCTTTTTATTTTCTTTTATTGTTGTTGTTGTTTACTGTGGAGTTGGAGACAACCTATAGCTGACCTTCCAGGAGGTTTTCAGAGACATTTAATTACACGTGAAGATATTGTCCATCCTTCTTCAAGAGAAAAGTTGGTGGATTCAAACCACATGCCTTCTCTAGCACCTCTTCTGGCACAGCTTCTTGCCACTAGGGCACCATAGTGTCCTTTTGTTAAGTATTCCAATATTTTGTATATTTTACTGACCCTTTTCAAGAACTAGCTCTTTGGTTTGTTGATGTTTTCAATTGATGTTCTTTTTTCTATCACCCTGATTTCAGATCTTGTCCTTATCATTTCCTTTCTTCTAGATGCTTTGGGGTAAGTTTGTTGTTCTTCTTCTATTTAATAGAGGTATTGAGTTAAATCATTAGTTTTGCTTCTTTTTTCCTTTTTTAAATATATTTACCTATTGCTATGAATTGTCCCATGAGTACTGCTTTATCTGTATCCCAGAGACTCTGCTATGTTTTATTTTCATTATTATTTTTTCCATAATCTTTTCAATTTGATTTTTTTTCATGTTTTCCATAACTCAATCATGTTCCAGCAGTTTGTGATTTAGATTCCATGTGGGTGATTTTATAAGTTTAAGAGACATAAACGCAGGTTGTATACCTGGATTTCACCTGATGGTATGCATAGGATTCAGATTGATTACATATGTGGAAAGAACCGCTGGAGAAGCTCAATATCAGTTGGGAAAACTAGGCCAGGAGCTGATTGTGGAACAGACCACCAACTACTCATATGCAAATTCAAGCTAAAGCTGAGGAAAATTAAACCAAATCCAAGGCAACCAAAATATGACTTTCAGTCTATCGCACCTGAATTTAAGAACCATCTCAGGAACAGATTTGAGGCTTTGAACACTAATGAACGAAGGCTAGATGAGTTGT